GGACTCTTCAGCACTTTGTGGGGATGCTGGAGGGACTGGGGGTAGCAGGGCTATGTCCTCCGGGCAGAGGCTGCACTCTCTTTTTAAGTGACACCAACACTTTCATAGCACAGGCCCCAGGCACCAAATGTGTGCTTGTGACAATGTGAGGCAGTCCTACTGAGGCCTCCATTTACAGGACAGGAGAAGGCAGAGTCAGGGGCATGGGGTGGGGGGTGGGGTGGGATGACAGGAGCCATCTGTCTGACAGAGGCCTGGGCTCCACCTCTGTCTCAATGAAAGGGAAGTGAGGGGAGTACTTCTCTCAGGAGACAGAAGGAGGGAGGGCCCAACTGTACAGAGTGAAAGGCAAGTGAGAAACTAGGAGAGAAGTTCCAGTTGGTAACTGCCCCTCAGGGGTGAGAGACACTACCCTTCCCACCCGTTGGTCCCATGAGTTGGTTGCCTTGAGTACAGGGGAAGAAGAGACGCTGGCTTCCACCATTGCCCACTAACAGTAACTGTCCAATGAATGTTTCCTGTTTGGCTTAGTCCTGAGGAGAGTGGATGCGAGAAGCCCACAGATTCTGAGAACACAACCGGGAGGAGACTTCAGGTCCTGTGGCCCTTCCCCTGCCCCCCGCCCCCCCGCTCGGCTTTATCAGGAAAGCCTGGAGCTAGGTGCCCCAGCGGAGAAGCGGCCACGGTCTGATGATACTTTCTGCCCCTTGGGTTTTTCTGCACCCTTCAGCCTCTGCCCTAACCCTGGAGAAGTTAGAGGCAGTGAGTGCTCGGGGACGACTGGGCTGGGGAGAGAAGTCCACTCCCTGCCCCGGCACTTCTGCCCTCTTTTATTCTGCAGGGCTGGGCTGGGAGCAGGGCTGTGCGCGAGGAGGTGGGGAGAAGACTTGGTGAGAGATGGACCTTTTGATGGGAGTCTGGCCTAAGCTGCTGAGAACCTGGCAGATCACTCTAACACCTGAAAGAAGCGGGGAACTGGAGATAGAAATCCAATGTGCCTTGCTTGAAGACAGTGGAGGAAAACTAAAGTCATTTCCTGTCAGCCTCGTACTGAGGTCAGACCATTACACGTGCTGGCTTCATTCAATGTAGGTCTCCATTTTTATGAAAAGGGGGGACTTGCAAAACTTAATTAAATTGTAATATCACTCTATTACAAATCCACCTTTTAAATGTGTGAATTTCATCATGGAAGCCCATGAAGGGCACATTTTGATTTAGAGTTTCCGTAAGACATGAGCAGTTGATGGGTCTATCTGGTATGAATACTTGTATATGTATTTCTCCTTTTCTAGCTGTTTCTTCCCACCATCCCATGGCCTCTTCACCAGGTGGCCCCCAAATCTCTGTCACCCAGTTTTTCATTGCCATATTTAAGACTACATCCTGTAAGGCCATCTCTATATTCATAAAAAGCTATGTGATCCCCAAGAATCTCTAGTAACATCTATTGAATGAGCAGTTCTTTGATGGATGGATTGCACTATTATTTTCCTAAGTATGACACAAATTCTACTTGTTGGATTAAGGATAATTCATGTGTCCCCTCCCTCATCATTGCAATATCCTGTGGTCAAGGAGCCACCCTTGAGATCTTGGCCAGTGCCTCCCAGATATAGGGAGTAAAGGGAGGAAGTGGTGGTGGGGGGTGGTAAGATGGACTGCTTGGTTCATCCATCCAAGAGTCATTTATGGGCTTGGGTGCCATGTTTCCTGACCTCCCTGTTGGACACCGAGAGACTAGGAGAGTCATACTCACTCTTCATTGACAAAGATGAGTTCCAGAGAAGGTTGGCTGTTGTTTTCATCCAGACCTACGGTAGCAAAGGGAAGCAGGAAGTGAGGTAGAGACACAGGAGGTGACACTGACTCACAGAGAAGTTCTGGGGCTCAGGCTGGGGGTGAATGGTGTGTGAAGACCCCTGTTGAGGGTCTGCCAGTGACCACCCTTCTTCCTTCTGCTCTGAAGGTGAACACAGATAGGCCCGAGGGTTTTGTCATAACCTCTGAGCAGCAGTGGTTGTTGAGAAATGATGGAGGTGTAGGCGCTGGGTGGGAATGGGGTTCCCAGGGAGGCTCTGGGTTACAGGGCTGCTATGGGAAAGAGACGAGGGGGAAGGGAAGGGGAGGGGAGGAGCCCAGGGGAGCAGCTGTGGGAAGGCAACAGGCTGGGCAGGAGGGCTGGGGCCGGGTAGAGAGCGGAGGGCACATGGACAGGGCAGACGGTACTGATGGGCTCGGCCTCCTCGGTGCTGGTGCTCCCGGCCACGAGCTGCTCCTCCTCGGTGCCCACCAGCCCCTGCAGCACGGCCTCCACGATGGGCATGACCATGGCGGTGGTGGAGGTGTTGGACAGCCACATGGACAGCATCGTGGTGCAGCACATGAAGCAGAGCAGCAGCCTGTGGAGGGCCGGGCAGGCCGTGAGGCCGAGGGGGCGGCCTGGCCTCAGAGGACCAGGCGCCCTTCCCAGGCCTTCTACAAGCTGCTAGTGGGTGTGCCTCTACGGACGTCTGGGTCCACACTGCTCCTTTTCTAGCTGCTTCCTTCCACACCACTGGCCCTCTCACCAGCTATTCCCCAAACTCCTGCCTTCCCCTGGTTTTTCTCTGCTGTATCTAAGACCACATCTGAGACTACAAAATACTTTGTGATTCACCAAGAGTCTCCAGTACCATCTAGGTGGAAGCAATGTGCTCATTTTCCCAGTATGCTCCATATACATTTCCCAACAGTATCTCAAAAACTGTGATGTAACTGTATTCCAAGGTCACAGAC